GTTCTCAGAGAGGAGACTGAGTTTGGAAAGTGTCAGGCCTGTGTAAATGCTGATGTATAGGCCACAGTTGTTTCTCTGAAAAGGCCTTCAGAACCCACCCCTTTTCCTCTGTTCCCTTCAAGTTGGGAATGATTCATCAGCTGGCCCCAGCAAGAAAAGAGGCCAGCCTGAGGTCTTGGGCCTTTGACCTCTGTGAGGAGAAGGGTCACAGGGACAGGGAGTGTGTGAGCTCTGAAGCAGAAGCCACAGGCACAGAGAGCCAGTGGAGTGGAGGGGGACGGTGGGAAAGAGTGGATGTTTAGAAAAGTGAGGAGTGTATTTCTAAGAGACTCAGTGGTTCAGCTGACAAGCAGGGTCAGGGGTCATATTTATGCTTGATTCCCGGAGCACGTTACTGTAACGTCTTCTTACTAAGGGTCTTCAGGGAGCAGGCCCCAGGACCTAATGCTTCTGACCTTTTTCCTCAAAAGGGGACAGCCTGAGAGATTGGGGGGGGCTATTAACTTGTGTGCTTGGCTTCAAGGCTGCTCCCCACTCTCTTGGGCATTATCTGCCAGGTTCACCCCAGTTCTTTTTATAATCTTGCCACACATTTAAATTAGTCCCTTGCCTGGCAGTGGGCAGAATTTAAACTCCAAAAGAGAAAGCCAGATTTTAATTGCAAAAAAATATTATCAAAAAATAGAGATAAGGAAAAAAAATCTTAGAGGCTAAATTCTTCATGCGCTAAAAAAATCTATTTCTCAGTAATTGCTCAACTGTTTGTATTATAAATAAAAGTGAAAGAGTGATTGTAATCGAGTTGGTCACAGTCTTTGATAAGCCTCCTCATGGGAGCGACGTCTTCATTCCTCTCTCGGGTTATCATCCCTTTGTGCGAAAGTTGGTCTTGTAGACAATGGAAAAATAAACTCAAAATAAAAGCAGAAGCCATAGTCCAGAAACCCTGAAGACTGGATATCAGCCTCCTTCTGGTAGCTGTGTTTGAGTTGCTCTTAACTTTTGAATTCAAATTTCCCATTAAAAGATACTAGTTATTTTTCAGGTCGCCAGCGAAATGAACCTCTGGTACGAGCCTGGCCATTTCTTCAAGCTTCTCTGACGAAATTAACGACAGACGAAAGCATCGAATGATTTCTCTAAAACTGACTGAAGGGAGAAAAAAATGCTTCATGGTGCTAAGTTCCCTTCATTGCTTGAAAGAAGGCTTTCCTCTAGCCTCTATCGGGCCCGGTTCACTTTGGTAGCAATCCCTAGACTTCTGTGCTCTTGTTGTCCACAATATTTTGAATGAGAGGCTATGGAAAGCTCAATTCAGTTTTATTCAGTCTCTTGATGCCAGTATAAGTCTGTATTTCATGAGCATATAAAGTTGATGTCTTAACCACGCACATGACATTTTAGCCCCAAACCTCCCATAGAGGAGCAAGAAAGGATGGGCAAAGATATCAGAGTTAGAGTATTATTTTTAGCAAGATTTAAAAAAAGCTAAAATAAGCAAGTGAGTGACATCACGTATCATGGCACCCTCTGGGCTCCACAACCATCAATGGCCAAAGTTCACATGGTCCAATGTTCCATGCAACTGCGAAAACAGGTTTCCTATTTATAGCGAACTGCTGGCAGGAGCCAGCTCCTCCTCTGAGGAGAATAAATTATTTCAAGGTGAAGAGATGTGAGTGGAGGGGCCGTTTCCAGGCTAAGAATGCCCGTATGTGAGCGTCCATGTCTTTGGAGTTAGGGGATTGGTGGTGGGATGGGTGATGGGAGCTGTCTAAAATGACTTTGTGATTATAAATAATAATCAAAAAAATTCAATCGGAAGTGCGTTCTGCCAACCTTCACAATACCCCTCCTAGCAGGACATGGAACTCTTCTTATCCAGGGTCAGACCCACAAGCTTAAGGCCAACAAGTTCAGTGGGAAAGACGACTCTTGCTCTCAGTCCTTTTTCCCCCTCTCCTTTTCTCTTTCATTTGGGAGGCACCCCCTCATAAACATGCAGAGCAATTTTCCAGTACATTAACCCAGGAGGGATCCTCTCTCTGTCTGCCTGAGAGACAGCAAAGTTGAGAAACGGGGTGAGGGGAAGATGGATGAGGCTGGGATATAAGAGAAGCTAGTTTTTCCACTGTCCTACCCTGTACACCTAGGACAAAGGCTTCATTGACTGCAATGCTTCACATCAGGCCCATAAACTAGTAGTCGGAACAAAAGGCCTGACACTTGAAAGTAGTAGAATCGGCCTACTTTCTATTGCAGCTGTGTGCGGGGGCCGGGCCTAACCGTGGTGTCCCCTTTTCAGCCCATAGGACAAGAGATGAAAATAAACAGGGTCGACTTTAATGTAGTCACACAATTTTGCTATTTCCCCAACAACAACATTTCCTCCGGCCTCGCATCTTGGCCCCAGGAGATGGGACCATCTTCCTTTGGGCCAGGGAGCAAGGGCACAGTTGGCTTGGGGTGGCTCCAAGGGTATAGGGCGAGCAAGTAGCTGGAGGGTATGGATGAGGGATAAACACAAGAGTCATGAGATCTGTTCCTTGCCCGCTAGGAGGAGGTGGGGTGGTTTTCATGCATTCCAGCTTAGTCACAGTGGTTTCTTTCATTTTCTTGAGATCCCTGGAAATGGCCCTTGAGGGGGAAAATAATGAATGCAGGAAGCAAGACTAAAAACGTGTACAATTACATGATTTAAAAGATTTTGCAAAAAAAAAAAACCCACCATGGTATCAGGCCAATTATCAGAAGACCAGCAAGCACAAGCCTTTCCTGAGAACGTTTGGGTAATAGGACTTTCAAACGAGCCACTAGAGTCGAAGGTAAGAGTTCAAGACCTCTGTGTGCTGGACCCCTTGTGCCTCGCTGTGTGGTCTGCTGCATTTCCTGCCACCATCACCACCTGGTAGTTGTCAAGATTTCAGCTTGGAAGATCAGGTTTGAGTCAGCCACAGACAAGGACACTTGGCTCCAGCCAGGTCTTCAGTATACGTTCCGAAACCTTAGAATATCCAGGCCCCCAAAACCCGTCCAAAAGTATCATGGGTGCAGAAAGAAGGAAGTTTGCAAGCTTTGATGCCTACAGGTTTCAAGTGTTCAGACTGCAGAAAAGGTCAGCATTGAGCCACGCATGCTAACAGAAAACTTCTCTTTAAGCACCAGTACTGGAACCCAGGTTAATCACACACTAGTTGGTTCTAAGGTTTGGGCGAGTTCTCCTTTCTAATTTCTACTGCTTCCCCAAAGTTGGAGGAGACGCCTTTGACTTACGACGATTTGTATCTATCACTTGAACTTGTACTTCCGCAATTGCTGCTGATTTATTTTCTGAAATCCCACACCACACAACTCTGTGACAGCCTCATTTTAGAGAACATCGCTCTGTCACAATGTAAAAATAGGTCTTTTGATAGAAAACATTTAAAAGACTGGACCGTTCCTATGAATCTTTTAAGGAGATGTATTTGCCCCACAAAACTAAACGGTTGCAAGCTGAGTGACAAGTGTCTTGGAAATGGAGGAAGGACAGACCAGCTTTATCTTCACACTGGTCTAGGCCTCCTCTGTAAAAGGAAACTGATCCAGGTGTGTCTGCTGAGGAAGTTAAAGCATCGGGTCGGAACTTACTGTGGCTAGCTTCTGGACAGTTTGGTAAATGCATCATGTTTTGAAAAAGTAAGCTTCACGTAATGTGTTTTGACTTGTAGAATCACCACACCTGTCATTTCTAGGCTCTGGTTTTGTTCGTTTATATTTCAGAATACCTCATTCATTCCAAAAACCTACAAGTCAGAATTTTGGCTACCGTATTTAAGCCCTAGGGCTGGTTTCTTGGCAAACAGCAGTGTGAGCCTGATCGTGCTCCTGTGCCCGGTCCACAGGCTTCCTCCTCTTCCCAGAGACACCATGATGGCCACTGTGCCTGGTCCACAGGCTTCCTCCTCTTCCCACGGCCACTGTGTCTTAAGTTCCATCAGGTTTTGACTTCTTTGACATAGGTCTTCATTTGGCAACTATCAGACATTGTGTGTACATGGGTTTTGTGGTGCACCTGTGGTGTGTGTGTGTGTGTGTGTGTGTGTGTGTGTGTGCAAGACAGAGAGACAGAGACAGAGAGACAGAGAGAGAAAATAGTGGAAGATAAGCAAATAGTGACCTTACTTCAGAGGAAAATGTAAGGATTACATGTAAGGCATTCCCATGTGATGAGGAGACATGAGAAACTCGAAAGTTTCCTATGCCTTTCTGTGTTTATGCATGAATGTATGTCCCTTGGAGTCCAAAGATTTCCAGAGAGCCCAGCCTTTCAGAACCAAGAATGCCTATGAGAAAGAGAGGGAAAGAGGGATAGAGAACAAAGAGAGGGGGAGAAGAAAAAATATAGAGAGAGGGTAGATTCTGGGTAACTCTACAGACCAGCAGTGACTGGTCTCCACCCAGTCCTTTCCATACCCCACACTCTCTATTTCCTGTTCCCGGACTCAAACCCCAAGATAAACCTTTTACAGCGGGCTGTCCCGCCAGCCTTAAGTTTGAGGAGGTCTCTCAATGTTTTCTTCTGATGTCCTTCTTCCAGGCAGGGGAAACCCAGGGGCTAGCTCTGAGACCTCATTGCTAGTCTGTGCTCTCTCTCTGCTGAGCGTGGGTAACCAGGTCACCTTCCTCACTTGCTTTACTTGCAAAATGAGCAAATATGTAACAACGTCTCTTCGCTTCTTGTTCTCTATGTTCCGACGGTGACCTGCCCTACAAGTCAACAAGAGAAAGGGGTTTAGAAAACAGGTGTTTGGAAGGTGTAATCTCAAATAGGTACCCCGTCACTGCATTCAGAAAGGGTGGTAAACTTAATGTACCGAGAGGCCCAAGCATTTCCTCTAGTTTATATTTAGAACGGTGTCATGGAATTGGAATGGTTATATCCTTTAAAGTTTTCTTAGCTCTACTTGAGGACACATAGTTTTAAAATCGCCCCCATTAAAACCCTTTTTCTTTTCCAGGCCAGAACTTTGGCATGTGGATGTCCCCGTGGGATTCAGCTGTGCGCCTGGTGTCTTTCCTCTGAATCAGAGTTTAAAAATTGTTTTAAATAAACATTTGTGTTCTAACTTGCTGAAGACCTGTTTTTTTTTTTTTTTTTTTTTTTTTTTGACAAAACTCGATTTCTCTTTGCATGCTATAAAACTTTTATTTTTAGGTCAAATGGATGTTTCAGTCCAACCTTTGAACACGGATACAGGCTTCGGACACACACTGTGACTTTGGTCTATTGTTGGGAGTTGTGCTGAGCTGGCAATGCATTCCCTTGTCTCTCACTCTGTTTCTAGAACTAGACTGTTGTCATGGATAAAAGGAAAAGGCGCTGTTTTAGATACAAAGATGGAAGAACTCCCTCTGTGCAAAGACACCAAGTAGAACCAGTGTATATAATCAGGAAACCAAGGGCTGACTTGACTCCGACTTCTCACTAATCTAGATATGGAGAAGTGTGGTGAAGTGTGGTGACATATGCGCCTTCATTCCAGCTTCACAGGACGAGGTTCAGCTGAGGAAAATGGTCTGCCTTTCTATCATTCTCCTTTTTGGATCCCTTTTATAACATTATAAGTGTCTTTTCTTTGTGGTTGGACCACAAAACATCAGCCTTCCCTCTGCCGAGGTTTTTTCTCTTTTCCTCTGGCTTTCTATATGCTAACAGTGATCGAAATCTGCGGCAATTCTTCTTTCTATGACCTGATTCTATTTTGTTTTCTATGTATGGTGCCCTATTTACTGAATACTCTCAAGCCTGAACTATTGCAATAACCACCTGAGTTCACACACACACACACACACACACACACACACACACACACAAACACAAATGCATGCACACACGCACTCATTATTTTTTTCTATATGCTTAATACAATTGTTTCAGTACTTGTTTTGACTTGTGCTTCTGTTACTTATGCCCCAACCTTGCATTTTTCCATCCAGGTCCTCTCATTCCTTTGTTTATTTTGTCTCATTGCCCTTACAAGCCTACCTTGGGCTGTCTAAGAGCCCATGAGCACTTTTCCTTTGATATTATCTCCATCCTGGCAGCTCCCATGTACTTTAATTTGCGGATTGAAGAAAGCATAAAACATCTTGTATCATCTTGTAGATGCTTTTAGACTTATGATAGTGATAATAATTACCTTTGGCTAAGAGTCATTCATGTCCTGGGAACCCTTCTGATATATTACTAGTGTTCATACATTTTGCAACTGACTCTCTCAGAGGTCAGTGCTGGGTTTTCGTTTTCCTGAGTTATAGTCAGACGTAGTGTAATAAGGTACATCTTCTAATAAGACCCCCACCCCGTCCCCAAAGATCATGAAGTCCCAAGAGGAAAGATGAGGAACACCCAGTGGGGGACAGAGGTCATGAAAGAAGAATAGAGTAGCAGGGTGAAGATGGCGCACGCCTTTAATCCCAGCACTTGGGAGACAGAGGCAGATGGATCTCTGAATTCAAGGTCAGCCAGGTCTACAGAGTGAGTTCCAGGACAGTCAGAGCTACACCGAGAAACCCTGTCTCAAAAAAACTAAAAAGAAAATATACCAGGCTCTTTTGGGGGCCACCAAGCAGCTCCAAAATTATGACACAGAAAGGAGACTTGTTATGAGCCATGAATGCTCAGTCTAGCTTTGGCACATTTCTGGCTAGCTCTTTTAACTTAGGCTAACCAGTTTTTCTTTGTCTACCTTTTGTCTCGGGGCTTTTTACCTTTTCTTACTTTCTTGTTGTTTGTGTGTCTGGCTGACTGACAGCTGTCAGGCTTCTGGCCCTGGGAGCGTTCCTCTTTCTCTCCTCTTTCTTCTCTGGTTCTTCTCCTCTCTCAAGCCTAGATTTCTCCTCCTATTTATTTCCTCTGTCCACGATCGCTGCATATTCTTTCTCCAACATATCTATTTATGAGACCAATAAATAGTGCCTTAGGCAGCAAAAGGTGAAACAAACGCCACACATCCTTTCATAGTTTAACAAATGAATCACAAACATAAGGAACACAGTAACCTTTACACAGTTAAAATAATATCTTGCAGTATAAACAAATGTAACACATCTTTGCCCAGTTAAGATAATATTCCACAAGAAAAAAAAAGAAACAAAAAAGGAAGAGAAGAGTGACTTCAGTATTTTCCGTGTGGTCAACTAGGGACGCCACACTTCACATTACCCTGTTGTCCAAGCTCATGGTTCTGTTCTAACGGGACGCCACGCTCTCTGAGGATGGATATGCATTTGTTGTCCATCTGTATCACCTTCAGCACACCATATAGTGTTTTTTTCTCTTTGAGAACTCCCTTTTGTGACTGTGGATAGAGAGGCTATGCTTCAGCATTGCTGCTGCTTAGAGTATGCGGCCTGTCTATCCAACAGAAGCACATTCATAAAACTTTCTGGTTTAAATTTGATATAAAATACCTCCATGCTTGTTTCTCTTCACTTATCCTAATCATAATTATTACGATTTGCCAAAACTTCCCCCCTCCTAGTGGCTGTTATCTGGGTTTTCATTCTGGAGGTGTGCTTTTGATTTTTGTGTCAGCCGCTCTCTCACAGCCTTGCTGGGAATGTTAATTACAATTAAAAATATAAAGCGATTGCAGCAAAGTCCAACGCATCGCGATGCTATGAGAATATCCAAATACCACTGCCATCTCTGCTGCCACCATCATCCTCACTCATGGCCTTAGGTCTCTAGTGCCATTGCCTATTAGTGACTGAAATGATGATCAAGTTCTTTTGTAAGATTTAGTGTGTGTGTGTATGTGTGTGTGTGTGTGTGTGTGTGCACGCACGTGCATGCGTGCAACTGTGTAGAGCTATGCATGAGTAGAGGCCAAAAGAAAGCAGAGGATCCCTTCGGTCTGGAGTTATAAGCAGTTGGGGACTACAGCTTGCTTTGTGGATACTTCTATCAAACTCTTGTCCTCGTGGCTGTAGAGCAAGTCCTTGTAACTGCCGAGCCCTCTCTCTAGCCCCATGGCCCTAGTTTTTATACTAACAGCACTACTGTTAGCCTTGGAGGCTTACTAGATGATTTATAGCAGCAGACACAGCTCATCTTCCAGAGTAAAGCTAATGTGCTTCATTAATACACAAGTGGGTGTCCTTGCTTCTCATGAACCATATGCTGCATTCTACGTATGATGCTGCGTTTTCCTATCACAAAAACGTATGTACGACTCTCGTATGAGCCTCCCTTCCTGTCTGGTGCCCTCCTCTGCCCAGCACACTTCAATCAAGAGTGACTTCCACCCACATGCCACCCAACAAATATTATTTTCAAGTTGATGTTAAAAGTAGTACCCATGGACACCCTTCACGTGCTTGGGCTAAAGTTTAACTTGCTGAAGAGCAGGAACGTTTTCACAAATCCTTCTACTCTTTACAACAAATTAATACAATTCGTTGAATTAAGTTAAAGCGCTGCATGGTTTTTAAAATTACACTTTCCTTTTTAAAATGAAAAGTATTCTTTTACCTATTACCCCCACCTGTGTGTGTGTGTGTGTGTGTGTGTGTGTGTGTATGTGTGCGTGTGTGTGTGTATAAGTGGACAGGTGTGGAAGTCAGAGAACACTTTTGTGGAGTCAATTCTCTCCTTTCACTAGGGGTTCCAGGGACCAAACTTAGGATGTAATTTTTTCCTCTGAAAGAACTTGTGGTCTCTCAAAGTTTCACTTTGCTATAACTTACATTCTTTTTTTTTTTTTAAAAAAAAAAAGTTAATAACATATTGTCTATAATGACAAGAATAAAAAAGTCATTTTTTTTCCTGAAATGTATTTCTGGATTGATGCTGATAGTTTTGTTAGTTTTTATATTGGACCACTTTTGATGCTTTCCACAGCACGGGGTCACACTGGTTTACTAATAGTGGAGTAAGCGCGCAAGTGGTGTGCTTACAGAGATGGAAGCTGTGTTTTCAGTCTAATGTAAAGGTAAAATTTTTGTGTGCAGGGGGCATACTTAGTGGTAGTGTGTTTACCTACCATGCATGAGCCCTAAACTGGATTTCCAACACAAGGAGAAGAAATTAAAAAGTAAGAAGCATTTGGCACCGCTTCCCTTGGCTTTCCAGAGATCTTACATATCCCAGTGTCAAGCTACAGTTGCAATGATACTAAGCATATTTCAAAGCCTTCAAAAGGTGCAAACTAAAACTCAGCATAGGCAGAGGACATGAGTTTCCTTAGCCTACTACTTATTATAATTTTACTTTTACCCATAAATAAATAAAAGCAGGACATTTTCAGAATACTTTATAGTAATCAGTTACATAGTACATTTTCACATATCATTCTTCCTTTTCTCATGTTGCTACTAAGCAAAATTCAAAAACATCCCTGGACTAGAGAAACATCCCATAAGGATGCTTCTGAGCCCTTAGGGTTTTTTGGACACCAAGAAATGCCCAGATGATTTTGATATAAATTTCAGATTATATCAGGAAATAATAGGTACTACCAAGGTATTTTATCATTTAATTGATATATATGGATTTAGTTGTGTTTTTTTTTAATTTCAACCAATGTGTGGTTAAGGGAAACCACAGAAATGTCTACGAAGTTAGAGTTCCAGGGTCTCACAAACAAAGTCTCCAGAAAGACACTAATTCCACACCAGAGATTTGTTCAACTGAACAGAGATTAGAGTAATAGCACTCAGATGTATTTCTGGTTTGGGTTTTATTGTGTATAATGTTGTGGTGGCTTAAAAGAATGATCAGTACTCAATACAAAGTGTTACATTTTGGGAAGACCATATAGATGCTATTTATGTGTAATTAATTATGTAAAGCAACCTTAGTTACCTTCATACTATAATTTGTAAACGGTTTGTACAGGTAACATAAAAAAATTGAACACTTGTCTACAGAGGCATTGACCAATGGGAAACACCTCTACTGGTGAATATGTACGAATCACCCTCTGCTGAATGTTATCTATCATCCATATACACTATACACATATTTCTGTATATAATATATGCACACATTTAATAGTAATCATAACATGTACACATGTAGCATCAAATATTATAACTGTATGCACTTT